ATCTAAATTTGTTATAGGGGCTAGATTTAGGAGGAAAATTATGTTAGAAGATTTTTTTCGCCATCTATAATAAACACATTAAAATTTCAACACATAAGTTGGCGTTGAAACACTATAATATGTGACACACGTACAGTTGAAGTCGCAATCACAAGGCTAGGTGTCATACTCTATATATAAACTTTTATTTACACAGGGCTGATCTGGCTGCTTGCCCTAGTTGTTGGGTTTGTGGGGTCCCTGAGACACCAGTACATTACCTGATATCTCGAAAAAAATACGCTGCATTGCGCAAAATCACAGTAGATGTCATCTTCCGTCTCGTAGGATTGGAGTTAACCACTCCGAATTTGCATTCTTTGAGGGCTTTGTCCCTGGGGTTCACTGACGGGTAAGTTGCCGATGCCTTGCAGTAGTTTATTAAAGCTTCAAAAAGATTGAGACTGTAGAACCTAATATTACTCCTAAATTACCTTTTCCTTAAATTGCTTTATTGATTCATTTACTTATTTTTGGTGAAACAATCTCCTTCATTTTCTGTGTTCGTTATTTGTAATTGTATATTTCATATTTATTTTTCCCTTTTCTAGTTAAAAACCGCTAGTTAACAAATTAACCGTCTTTAGTCAGAACTACCCGGTTTTCGGTCAATCCTCAAGAGTGAGTGTGTGCCACAGTTTCCAGGCACCTCCTTGCTTCCTTTCATCTTTCCTTCCTTCCTTCCTTCCTTTCTTCCTTCCTTCCTTGCTTCCTTTTTTCCTTCTTTCCATCCTTCCCTGTAAGTCTGGCGTTACGTGCTTAGACACACCTTGTACATAAACTTGACGACGCCTTTTTTCTCCGTAACATTTTGGTGGAGAGTGTGGATTCTCCCTTTCACTAACCTGAGGATTTTCCGTAGCGGACGCTCTTTGGCTGCTTCTGTTATGTCTGCTCAAGAGGATGCATCGGAAACGTCTCCGACCGTGCCTCGGCTAGCTGGGCCTGCCACGCTGTAACAAACCGCCGCTGACTGTCGTCCTGACTCAACCAGGCGACCCGGGCACCTTTTCCTGCACTTACAAGAAAGATATCGAAGGTTGGCTTCAGATATACGAACTAGTGAGTGCACTATACAACTTGTACCCCACGCTCATGTTGGCCACTGTTCTGTTTTACGTTGAGGGCACGGCCAAAGTTTGGTTTTCCAACCACGCGGAAGATATCACCAGTTGACACATCATCATCATCATTATCATCAGCAGCAGCAGCAGCCTGACTACGTCCACTGCAGGACAAAAGCCTCTCCCATGTTCTGCCAGTTAACCTGGTCCTGTGCTTGCTGCTGCAAATTTATACCCGCAAACTTCTTAATCTCATCTGCCCACCTAACCTTCTGTCTCCCCCTAACCCGCTTGCCTTCTCTGGGAATCCAGTTAGTTACCCTTAACGACCTGCGGTTATCCTGTCTACGCGCTACATGCCCAGCCCGTGTCCATTTGTTCTTCTCGATTTCAGCTATGATATCCTCAACCCCCATTTGTTCTCTAATCCACTCTGCTCTTTTCTTGTCTCTTAAGGTTAAACCTACCATTTTTCTTTCCATTGCTCGCTGCGTCGTCCTCAATTTAAGCTGAACCCTCTTTGTAAGTCTCCAGGTTTCTGCTCCGTAGCTAAGTACCGGCAAGATACAGCTGTTATATACCTTCCTCTTGAGGAATAGTGGCAATCTACCTGTCATAATTTGAGAGTGCTTGCCAAATGTGCTCCACCCCATTCTTATTCTTCTAGTTACTTCCTTCTCGTGGTTTGGCTCCACGGTTATTACCTGCCCTAAGTAGACATAGTCTTTTACAACTTGAAGTGCACTATTACCCATCTCGAAGCGCTGCTCTTTTCCGAGGTTGTACTTTACTTTCGTTTTCTGCAGATTCATTTTAAGACCCACCTTTCTGCTCTCCTTTTTTAACTCCGTAATCATGAGTAGCAATTCGTCCCCTGAGTTACTCAGCAATTCAATGTCGTCGGCGAAGCGCAGGTTACTAAGGTACTCTCCATTAACTCTTATCCATACTTGTTCTCATTCTAGGCTTCTGAAAACCTCCTGTAAGCATGCGGTAAATAGCATTGGGGAGATTGTGTCCCCCTGCCTTACACCCTTCTTGATTAGTATTGTGTTGCTTTCTTTATGAAGCGCTATTCTTTATGAAGCGCTTTCTTCATGAAGCGCTATCTACAGTTGAACTGTAGATTTCTTCAAGGATGTTTATATATACTTCATCAATGCCCTGATTCCGCAGTGTCTGCACTACGGCTGATATTACCACTGAATCAAACGCCTTCTTGTAATCTATGAAGACTATGTATTGTGGTTGGTTATATTCTGAGCATTTTTCTATTACCTGAGTGATAGTATGAATGTGGTCGAATGTTGAGTAGCCTGTTCGAAATTCTGCTTGTTCCTTTGGTTGATTGACTTCTAATGTTTTCTTTACTCTGTTAGCACTTACCTTTGTAAATAGCTTGTATACTACAAAGAGCAAGCTATGCGGCCTGTAATTCTTCAAGTCCTTGTCATCTCCTTTCTTATGTATTAAGATGATGTTAGCGTTCTTCCAAGATTCTGGTACTCTTCCCGTTAGGAGACACCTCGTGAACAGGGTGGCTAGTTTTTCTAACACAATCTGTCCTTCATCTTTCAACAGATCTTTTGTTACCTTATCCTCACCAGCAGCTTTGCCTCTTTGCATGCTCTCCAAAGCTTTTCTGACTTCTCCTATCATTACTGGTGGGTTGCAATCTGGGTTACTGCTAGTTCGTATAGTATTAAAGTCGTGGTTGGCCTGGCTACTGTACAGATCTCTGTAATACTCCTCTGCTATTTTAACTATCCTATCCATATTGGTAGTTATTTTGCCTTCTTTGTCCCTTAGTGCATACATCCGATTTTCGCCTATCCCAAGTTTCTTCTTCACAGCTTTGACGCTTCCTCCGTTTTTCAGAGCGTGTTCAATTCTCCCCATGTTATACTTTCTTACATAATATACCTTACGCCTGTTAATCAACATCGAAAGCTCTGCCAGTTCTATTTTGTCTGTTGTACTTGAGACTTTCATGATTTCACGCTTCTTAACGAGATTCTTCGTTTCCTGGGAAAGCTTGCCAGTGTCCTGTCTAACTACTCTGCCTCCAACTTCCACTGCACACTCCGTAATGATACTCGTCAAATTATCATTCATTGTATCTATGCTAAGGTTGGTTTCCTCACTAAGAGCTGAGTTCTGGTTCTGAAGCGAGACTCTGAATTCCTGTACTTTCCCTCTCAGCGCTAGCTCATTGATTGGCTTTTTGCGTGTCAGTTTCTGTCGTTCCTTCCTCAAGTCTAGGCAAATTAGAGACCGTATCATTCTATGTTCCCTGCATCGTACCTTGCCAACCACTTCCACATCCTGCACTATGCCTAGGTGTGCACTCATTATAAAGTCTACTTTGTTCTTATTTTCGCCATTAGGGCTGCTCTGTGTCTACTTACGGTTTCCTCGTTTTCGGTAGAAGGTATTAAAAATCCGCAAATTAATGCGTTCTGCGAATTCTACTAGTAGCTCTCCTCTGGCGTTTCTAGTACCGATGCCATAATCTCCTACTTCCTGGTCTGCAGCCCGCTTCTTCCCTGCCTTTGCATTAAAGTCTCCCATCAGTATTGTATACTGTGTTTTACCTTACTCATTGCTGATTCCACGTCTCCATAGAAGCTTTCAACTGAAGCGTCATCACGGCTGGATGTAGGCGCGTAAGCCTGTACCACCTTCCTCTCGTATCTCTTGTTCAGTTTAATTACGATACTTACCACCCTTTCATTAATGCGATAGTATGCCTCTATGTTGCCAGCTATGTTTCTGTGAATTAGGAACCTCACTCCTAGTTCTCTTCTGTCAGCCAGGCCCCGATAGCAAAGAACGTGCCCATTTTGTAGCACCGTATACCCCTCATCTCGCCTCCTAACCTCACTGAGCCCTATTATATCCCATTTAACACCCTTTAGCTCCTAGAATAGTACAGCTAGATTTCCTTCACTAGATAAGGTTCTAGCGTTAAACGTTGCCAAGTTCAGGTTCCAATGGCGGCCTGTCCGGATCCAGAGATTCTTAGCACCCTCTGCTGCGTTGCAGATTTGACCGCCGCCGTGGTCAGTTGCTTCGCAGCTGCTGGGGACTGAGGGCCGTGGATTGTTTGACGTGACGTATGCATGTGGGAGGTAGTGGCCAGATACTGCACCAGGGTGGCCAATCCTTCTCTGGTGAGGGAGTGCGTACCCGGCGGTGGTTACCGGTGAGGCCGCACCCCAGGCCTCCTAATGCAGTTCCATCACCACACGGATTTTTTTTATCTGGTTGGGAACTGCGCTGCACCGGGATTTGAACCACGGACCTTTTGCATGCGAGGCGGATGCTCTAACCACTACGCCATCGCTGCTTCCTAGATGAGACATATGCAAACGCAAACTCATCAACCTCTTCGACAAGACCATTGCGCATCGACGTTCGACGCAGAAAGAACTCGCGTGCCGACTGCAGTCCCGCACCGACCCATACGTGACTTACATTCAGGATGTGCTCGCCCTCTGCCGCACAGTTGACGAAAATATGTCGGGATCCGAAAAGGTCGCGCACATCCTTAAGGGAATTGTGGATGATGCTTTCCCTCTCCTCGTGTTCCACAGCTCATCGACAGTCAATGGTATTAGCAAATGTCTCCGCTATGAAGAATTGAAAAGTCGTCACACTGTTCCTAATTCGTAGCGCCTTCCCAACACAGCGGCGACGTCTACTTGCAAGGATATCCATCCTCGACCTGCTCATGCTGCAGGAGAGAACATTGTACGCCTCGTCCGCCCCGAAATCGACGCTGCAGCTATAGTCCCCATGCAAAGTCATGGCCACAATGATTCTGACACGGTTTCTTTAACACAGGCCGTCGTACGCCAGGAGCTTGCTAACGATGAATTTCAGATGCTTTGCCCCATGAACAAATCAGACTACCGTCCACCCTGTCCTCCTGGTCTGCCCCGAAACTCGTACGCCCGTCCTCGGTACCGGAACCCGGCAGAATGGCGAGTCTCTGACGACAGGCCCATTTGCTTCTGCTGTGTAATTGTCGGCCACACTTCCCGCCACTGCCGTGGTCTCTGGAACTGCAACCCTGGTACGACTATTCCAACAATCGGTGTTCTCCAGTTAGTTCTCGACTGCCCACCCATGAAGATGATGCTGCTACCAAAGTTACTACGTTGGCTGCAACACGATCGACGCCTCCCCGACTGCACCGCTCTCTTTCGCCGTCAAGTCGCCTTTCTCAATCTCAGCGTCTTCGTTCTCCATCCGCCTCCTCCTCCCACTGCTCCTCGGAAAACACACGTGCGCAGTTTCTAGAGGTTTGCCTGCCGTGATTATCCGACCCGCTATTCCTCTGCTTACACTACTTCGACACAACAACCTAATCGAAGTAGATGTCGATGGCGCACCTGTCATAGCACTAGTCGACACCAGCGCTCACGTGTCAATTATGAACTCAAACCTCCGTGCAAGACTACGTAAGGTTCTCACTCCTGCTCCGATCGATGCCCTACTCGTAGCCGATGGTACGACTCCAGTTGTCAGAGGGATGTGTACTGCTCGGGTCACCGTTACCGGACGCCATACCTCTATTTTGTTTGATGTATTGGGGTCATGCCCGCATGAACTGATTTTACGACTTGATTTTCTATCCTTCCATTCAGCTCTCATTGACTGTGCCATGGGTGTCATCCAACTTGCCCTACCGTATGCCGTTGAATTTAGTGATACTGAACCGAGCACGCTATGTTCCATCGATTACGTTTGCGTCCCCTCTCTATCTATTATGTGCATTGCGTTCTCTCCTGATATATCCATGCCTGATGGTGATTGCATCGTGTCACTCAACCCTGCTTTCATCTGATCACATAACGTCACGTTCCCCCCTACGGTCATCACTATAATTGACAATGACGCATGCATCCCTCTCGTCAATTTCGGAATATGCTCACAAGTTCTGTCTTAGGGTATCTCCCTTGCGTGCCTTGCCCCGGCCTGCGGCTACCACATTTCCGCCTTAGACAGTGGATAATCCATCACCCACGAGTCCTGATTTGGGTCAAGCTGCTTTTGACAGGATGACAAAAATGATCGCATAAGACATTTCGGAAGAACAAGTGCACACTTCTCGTGTCCTTCTCGCTTCATACCCAGACGTAATTGACTTTAATGACCGCCCACTTGGCCAGACAACTGTTGTGAAGCATCGGATCAACACCGGCGATGCCAATCCTATACACCGTTAACTCTATTGTGTTTCTACGACTTAGCGTCAAATCATACAAAAAGAAGTCGACAAAATGCTTGCCCGGGACATGATAGAACGTCTTCAAGCCTTTGCGCTTCCCCTGTCATGCTCGTCAGAAAGTAGCAAAGAGAAAGACAGCAAAGAGAAAAACAGCAAAGAGAAAGACATCGCTCGCTCAAGTCTGCGTGGAGTTGGCTCTGTATTGTATGACTGGCGTTACGTGCCTAGACACACCTTGTAAATATGCTGACGACGCCTTTTCTCCCCGTACCAATATTAATATGGCACAATGCAGGGCGACAGAGATCGGCGCAATGTTTCTCGCTGGTGTGACGATCATCCACACCTTGCTATCGCCAGCTGATAGTCAAAGGGTACGCGTTATCTTCTTTGCCTGTGCCTTCGAACCACTGCCGTATTAAACGACCAACGCAACTGCCATGGCCCATCGGGGAGAAGACTCACATCAGTGCTGTTTTGGGTGCACTATCATGATAAGCATAATTGAATTTGCAGCGCGATATCTTGAGTCAGAGACATGCTAGAAAAATTATTCTAAGTGTACCGGTGTAGAAACGCGACTGCCTCCAACTTTTCAATACAAATATGCCCGCTTACTGTAGTCACTGAAAAGCTAAATATTCAATCTTGTTAATTAGGCCACAGACCGCCATATTTATTATTTCATTTTGTGTCCTCCTGAATACATAGGTTAAAAGCGAAGATGATTTCCATCTTCTTCCCAGTGCTGAACTTTAACAAAACCATAAAGCTTAATTTTTAACACCGGGTATATGAGCATTCATCGTCACGCATTTATCTAAAGGTGTCAGCGATTAATATTTATTAAATTTCAATTGTCGTTTCAGTTAATTACCTTAACGGTTTCGAATGCTGTGTAGTGGGCACCAGTCATTACCTTTCAGTGAATAGCAACAGCAATAACATTATATTAGTTTGTCAGCACCGGTGGTCGTCGGCGTGTCTACTTGGACCTGTGTACCTGAGTCAGACCGTTCGGCTTCGAATTTTCCACGTCTGCACCGCTAAACGCCAACGACCATGCGATGACTGATAAAGAAAGCAATAAGGAACGCCGCGAGCTTTTTCGCTGGGCTCACTACGGTTAGGCGGCTGTTGCGTTTACGTTATTACTTTTTACTCCGATACTACTCGCTGTCAGCGCTAAATATAAACAAAGAAAACTTGCCAACTTCGGTGTCTTGTTATAACGCCGCTACAGATAAAAAGTGCAGCTGAGCTGAAAAGCTGTCTCTTGGCAGACTATGTGTCTAAGCTCACAAGATGCATCGGTAGGCCGATGTATTCATGGCCTTGTATTATTGATATCGTCTAAGGTTTTTTATAGATGTATAACCCCTGAACAGTTAGCCATTTCGTATGCTGCACATGGTCGGGGGCATAACAGTATGCATGTATGTATGGAGGTATGTATGTATGTATGTATGTATGTATGTATGTATGTATGTATGTATGTATGTATGTATGTATGTATGTATGTATGTATGTATGTATGTATGTATGTATGTATGTAGGTAGGTATGTATGTATGTATGAAAGTATGTATGCATGCATGTATGTATGTGTGTATGTATGTATGTATGTATGTATGTATGTATGTGTGTATGTATGTATGTATGTATGTCAAATTGAAGATAAAGTGCAGTTATGCTGGCATGGAATGAAAATGTATCCCTTCAAAATTCTTCAGGAATGCACCAACAGCAGCGACCCCAACAACAGCTGCAACAGCACGCTGGCCAATCATCTGGCAAGCTGTCCAACGTTCTTCGCAAACTGGGGAGGTCACGGGCCAAGTCCCAGTCCAGGGTACCCACACTCAGCGTCTGCAGCTGGAGCCCCGAGGTACGATCCCGCTTTGCACGATCGGCGACCGAAGTTCAGAGACCATGAGAAATATGGGGAAGCCTATAATATTCAAGCTGCTTCGACGTGCAGCCCAAAGTTTAGGCTTTCGGTTTGTTTTAAAACGCTAAGACATATACTGTGCAGTGCGAGTGAATGGACTCACAAATCGCCGGAAACTTCGATGCTTTTACTTGGTGGCATCCAAACTTTTGACAAGGACTATACAACAACGATTGCATATCACAGGGTAGACACCTGAGGCGTAGCAGGGAGAAAGGAGGGTTGGTAAACTCTTTTCTACAAAATTTTTCTTTATTTTGGATTTTGAAGCATATATGCGCACCACATAGAAACGCACGCACGAACACAAAGTATGGTTAAACCCCCTACCCTCCGAAAACATTTTGTGGCTACGCCCCCGCTACACACAATCACGCAAGCAAAAACACAGCATGTGTTCTGCAGTCATTTGTCGGTACGATTCATTGATATTTTCGAAGGATTTGTAAGATGCATAGGTTCGGTCGGTGCGTGCAGGGCTGCTGCCGGTGGTGTTCCCGGACCGGAGGCCAACTTACTCTACGGCCGACGACGCTTGTGATGCTCACCGAGACGGAAGCCAAGGGTTTGCGGCCACTTGCTGTAACTCGGCTCCAAAACATCGGCTTCGGTTGCAAGGTAGACATACCGAGAGGTGAGTGCAAGTCTTTTATCCGAATTGCAGGCCACCTATTGAATAAGCTACTCGATCGAGATCTTCTTTACTGGGCGGACGACGCTAATTGTAGTGTAGTCTATTCAACAAGGACAACGCGGAACTATGAGGAACGCATTTGCGTTGCAGTGTGGATTCTGAATCATTGATAAAAGGCAACTGTGAAACAAACGCAAGATAAGAGACACCATCGACGGGCGTTCGCATGCCTCACCATAGTTTTCTCAGCGGAAGATATCTCTAACCATGCAACTCACTCCACACGGTGAAACGCACGTCTCAGCTCTTGTGCTCTGTAGACAGTTGCGTTGGGTGTTGTTGCTTGCTTCATCGTGCACTATGAGAAATGCAAATACTACAACCTCTAGTTTTTTTAAACTAATACAATTCAGTGCGCAAGTAATTAATCAGCTTTTTTAGAGTGCAACGATGTCTTTTAAGGTTTCTTAACCAAAGCGCTTGCAGACCGCTTGTCACCATGAGCCACAGGTGCAAAAGAAAGCACAAATTAGCGCCCTCTTCAGAAACAGTTCCTACGTGCCAAGCCGGCTCGCGAAAATTGGGCGTTGCCTAAACATGGCGTAAGTGGCATGTCATGGGTGAACGCATGTCAGCAAGAGCGAACAGCTCTGGCGTATCGAAATCGTTGTGTACAAGCCTGTTTTTTAAGCTCCGTGCTAGCATTCATTCTCGTTGCTACTTTTTTCGCTTTGTTTCGCGATTTGTAGGCTACCGCCGTCGCTTGCGTATGCTGTGGTGCCGTCTCGTGTAAGCCAGCCACACACCACACGCATGGCCCTGCATGGGGCCCACTAGGAGGTATTTTTCGCTCTGCGCTGTAGACCTATGTCACTTGTAACAAACTGCGTGGATAACAAGGGTTGCAGTGTAGACGCAAACATATATGTTGACTGATGTCAAAATGCGGCGAAATGCAAAAAAAGTTATGGAAGATATCGCCGAATGGAACCCTGATGGAATGCGAAGCAACAGCGGTGCGTACGGCGTTGACCAGGTTGAAACGGGCATCGACGCCGATGCTGGAAGAACGGTTTGAAACGAAACTCGATGTAGCATTTACTCGAGTGAACGTTTGTTTGAAATGCGAAGACACGGGAGGCTGGTTTGGTTTCCTGTAAGTTTCATAGCAGAAAGACTGTTTGTTCAATGTGCGCTCGAACGTTGTGAGTAGTGGAGAGGGTGAAGCCAGTGATATGACAAGCGGCGAGCGGCAACCAGCTAGAGAAAAGGACGTCAACGCGCACACATTGCAAGGGAAGGCGTGACCTACTTGGCACCGCCCCAACATCTGCAACCAGGATAACGCTGTGCGGACGGCGGGACAGCGTTACACAGTGTAGTCATAGAACTGCTTCGTATCTGAAAAAATTGTTCTTTTAGTCAAGATTGTTGACTGATCGATAATTGTTGGGGTTTAATGTATCAAGCTTGACTGATCGAGTCTGCCTTTCTGCTTTTCGTAAACGTTGATACTTGTAACACGCGGCTTACAGAAGCACACTCGAGAGCCGACGAGTTCGCTGCTGGCTTTTAATGAGCGGGACCTCCAATAATTTTTAGGTTCTGGTTGGCCTCTACAGAAAACATACAATGTTTTCATTTGTAGGGCATAGGTGCAAACGTTTGTGCAAGATGGAATTTGTGAAAACATATTATTTATTCTCAATCTTACCGAAAACTCGCAGTTGGTTTGGTCAGTGTTTTATCATTGTAGTGCAATGAGCTATTCGCTGCACCTACCGATTAGAGAGTGAACTTGGCTGAGAAGAAGAGTATTCTTTTCATTCCTTGTTCTTTTTGTCCACTGTTCTGAAAACGTTTGCTGTTGACATTGTACTCTGTGCTGCATTGCTTATATCACGACGTAATACAAAGATAACATGCATGTTATCCAGCGTCAGTAGCAATGACGCGCGAGTTTTTTGTCGCGACTTTCTTCCTCTCTGCTCCTCTGTAGAAACAGAGGACTGTATGAAGCCGTTGGTGAAGTTTCTGGGATGGGCCACCCTACTTCGCAAAAAGGCCATTACTACGAGATTTGTCGAAAGTCACAAAGAAAGTGGTAAGAATGCACGCATGCTCGCCTTCTTTATTTAGGTTCTGGACGTATTCGCATACAAGGTGTTTACAGAAATGTGTCCAGTATTATTGAAAAATTACAGAAAAGAGGCATCTGCGTGCTACCTGTGGCGTTCCCTTTACTTTGGAAAAAGGCATTTTTAGATTAGTACAAACAATTATTACGACAGTAACTATTGAAATCAAACAATTGACCTTTTAACCAGTAGAAACTACCGGTCAAGTCAAATGGGTGAATTCAAGTCCTTCCTACAACAGTTCATATCCACTTCAAAATTTTTGAGAGATGGCCACTGGTAATCACCACGGAGCGATAAATTATGGCTAATTTAGCAGGTGAAACTGAAACTGACGCACCAAACAGCGCGTCTATATTTTCCTCGATTACACGCTCAATAACGACACTGTTTCCCTCGCCGTTATCAACCATTTACCTAGACACTTCGCTTTTTGACCACTTATGGACGCTCACTTATCCTCCCCCACCAATGCGAGGGAAACAGTGTCGTCTTCGAGGGCGTTTTCGAAGGCAATGGTAGATGCGCTGTTTGGTGCGCCAGTTTCAGTTTATTTGCTAAATTAGTCAGATTTCATCGCTCCTTGGTGATTACAAGTGGCCACCTCTCAAAAATTTTAATGTGGCTAAAGACTGTTTGTAGGAAGGACTTGATTTCGGACATTTGACTCGACCTGCTATTTGCACTGGTTGAAAAGGTAATTATTTTATTTCTATATTTACTGCCGTAATAATTGTTTGTAGTGCATTAAAGATGTCTTCTTCAGCAGTAAGGAAAACGGCACAAATAGCACGCATATTTTTTTATGTAACTTTTTTCAAACAATAATGGACACATTCCTGGAAACATCTTGTATATGTGTGTGTCTACAGGCTTCCATTTGCGAGCTATTATTCTGAGGTACGCGGTGTTTACGCGTGTATGAGAAACAGCTATCCGCCAAATACTGAATCCTTGGGGAATGGAGGCGGAAATGTCGTAGGCCTGTGTGCTCAGATTTGGGTGCACGTTAAAGAACCCCAGGTGGTCAAAATTTCCGGAGCCCTCCACTACGGCGTCTCTCATAATCATATGGTGGTTTTGGGACGTTAAACCACACAAATCAAATCAAATCATGAATCCTTGGGGAGAAATAAACAAGCCATTAACAGTTTTCATCGCATTTATTTGCATATGGTTTGTGCAAAGCTGTGGATATCTAAAGTGTTGCGTGCCCTAAATATGTTATTGCGTGCATTGATTAGCATGATTGTATCTTTTTTTCTGCGCTTCCCAGAGAAATTTCTCATTTTCATACCCTTATGCTCCCTCCATCGCCTAGCTTACGCGCGTGTTCCGAGATCTCCGGCAAGGAAGCTTTAGCACTCACGTATGCATACTGCGGTGTTTGTAAACAGGTTACGAACCAAGTTGAGTTATTCTCTGGCGCCCTTCACGGTATCACGTCAGTGGACGTCGTCATCGCATGTGTCAACGAAAAGTTGAACCTTCGCGTTGCACTGCGTGCGTTAAACTTCGGGTTTCAGCAGGTGCACCTTTACATTCACCATCGCCCACTGACGTCTTACATGCGGAGAGGTTTAATTGAAAAATTGCGGTTGCGTTTGTTGACCCCCGGCGGCAAGCGACAGATGTTTCCCACTCACATGTAGCTGTACGTGCGCCAGAGCGTGCATGTTTAGTGTTTTTACGCGCAGAGGCCTCAGATGATCAAGGAAAAAAATGGAAAGCTTGCAGCGACGGGTGGCGAAGTTGCTAGCTCGAATCTTCACGTTATGCTTCGCGCATGCTATAGCGTACGCTTCGTAAACAGCAAGTTAGTTCGCGGTGCCTTCCTGTCGTCTCTCGCATGTGGCTGTCATAGCCTATTCACTTTCAAGTTCGCAGCATTGCGGTGTGTACAAGGGTGCACGCGATTTTAAATGACATGTCACGCACTACTTGTTTCATCAAATGACCCGAAACTTGGGGGGCACATTCGTGCAGGCCTTCTGAGTGTACAACTTGGGATCATTTACCATCATCATTCGGCGTATTCCTGCAGAGAATCACTTTTCTGAATGCAGCACCATGTTCGACATTGTTCGACGTGATTTGTTTCAGGACAAGCGTGAAAAATTTTTTTTCTTCGCTCGAAACAAAGACTCCCACAAAATTGATCTCGAATCTGCATGTTCATCGCTAATGTCGTCGAAAGACGATAATCTTGCGTCTGGATAGCGTGAACAATACGTTTGTTTGATGTTCTTCGCAAGAAAATCAGTTAATGGTATTTTGGAGGCGCTGCGTTAGAATGCCCCGGGCATGCAGCAAAGGCGAAAGAGCACATCAAGGCACGTCACACGAGAGAGATGAGTGCTATTTGGCAGTTGTCCATAAAACAAAACGCGGCGCCTTGAGACGAGCGTGCGCGCCCGTCTCAGAGGTGATAAGGTGTAGAACTCAAGGCGACGGGTAGGCGCCACAACCGTGTCGTCTTAGCAAAGCGTCGAAAACACTCGCCTTCTCATGCAAGCATTGCATGATCAGCACAGCGTGGTAAGCGCTACGGTACTTAGAATTACATATGTTACCTTTTCAACTAAAAAAGGCCCATACAGAATATATACGTGTTGTTATGGTGCCTTAGGTATGCGCTATATATAATTGGTTTTTATGTGACAGTCACACAAGCATAAACGCTGATTCTTGAGCAACATTTGTGGGCGCTTCGGATGGTGTAGGCCGTTTGGAGTATCGTTTGACAGCTTTGGTGCCATTTACGGTACCATAAAGGCTGCACAAACAGACCAATGCACATACAGACAGACCGAAATTTTTGCGTCGAAGGTCCAAGAAGGACTATCGTCTATAAAACAAACTGTGCACCTATTTCGGGCCTAATGCTGAATTATTTTTATGCAAGCTGACTGGTGGCAGAACAGTCTCATATTTAGTTATAACACTCATCACCTCTAATACTAAATCTTCCAAAAAACTACGCATTCCTTCATTTTAATACTTGGAATGCAATACTGAGTGCCTTGGAAATGTACCACGCCACTTTAACGCGTGTTTGACAGTGCATCATAATTGGTGATGGAAGGGATTAAAGTTGTTAGTTTGGGTGATTCCTCGATCTTAGTGCCACCACCGGATCGTGCACTTCCGCTTTAGGAATTACAAAAGCGCGCGGTGAACGGTAAAACGGCCTGCGTATCAGAAAGACAGTGCTCTTTACCGTCACGTGAAGAGGGTTGCGAAAAAAGCACTTCCCCCCCCTCTCCCTGACCACGTGATGCAACACGACTTTGGCCCTCCCAAGACAAAACACTGCGGATACATATGCTTGTCACTAACGATAGCTATTTAGTAATGCTATGATGTTCTTCTCCGCCATCACGCAAAAACCTTCTCCGCCATCACGCAACATCGTGAAATGTGGCTTTTTTTCTACTTTTCATTTCTTTGTCCTAATGCTGGTCGGCTCCGTAGGGTTGCGTAAACTATTCTGTGGCATGGTAATCAAGTACTTTTCCGTCTCTCACCCTCACTTCAGCAGAAATTTCATGTGGAGAAGTGTTCGGCGTGGGACTGAAGCAGGTGGTGCTGAGTGACCGGCAGCGGTTTCCGGACTCGACGCTGGCCCAGCCGGCTCCCTGGTCGCCCTGGGACCTCGGCCCAGACGTGGCCGCGGCGGATGCCCCGTCTCGACGCTCGGACAACGCCAGTGAAGGCTTATTGTCCACACGCACCGACTGCTCCAAGAAAATTTCCAGAACGGTACGGCGTCTCCTTTCGCTTCCGCGAAGGTGCTGCCTTTGGAACGCTGCCTACGACAACAGCAAGCAGCACTAACGTTCGGCAGGGCCTGCGTATTATGTAACGATTATTGTTTCCTTTTTTTTGTTCTCTCCTCTTTCTGATGTACCTATTGTTATTATCCTTTATTATGCGTTGACTGCGCGGGAATCCTCGCCACCACTGTCATCTAGATTGGCCACGAAGCGGAACGTGTCACATGGAAGGAATATAATCGGGCAAAAAAAGGTATTTCATAATACCGCTGAAGAACTGGACGACGTTCCTGGCATACAACTCTTGCCTCTACCTCTTCAGTCAGGGTGTTTGTCGAAAAGCTGAGAAAGAGACAGTATGAGTAGCAAAAAAAGACTCTCGGGAAAGCTGACAAGTTCTCACTGGATTAAGAAAGCAATGTTGCGCTGCGTATTTATTATGAGATACTAATGAAGGAACACGGTCGATCAAATTCGTACGTGCCATGCGAGCTCACTGTTCTGTTTACATTCAGAAACCAAATGTGTAAGGAATCACACATATTTACAAAATTCAAATCGCAGAAAGAATAATAAACAAACAGGACAGAGTATGTGAAGTATACATCATGTCATATACGTTGGTAGCTTTGTATGAAAACAGGTGCTGCCTTTTGAGGTGACGCTTATACTAGGTGAGAGGGGAGAGGGGGGTTAGTTTTTTTATTCAGTAACTACTCTTTGACCTAGATATATATTACCAACTCGCGCAAACAAATTTGAAGTTTTCACGACAACGTTGACCGACGTATTTTTTATACCTCATCCTTTATCTCTTCTCTTTTTTCCCAGAAAATGGCGCATATACATCTTATAGTTACCGTGGCTAAAAGAAGTCCGCTTGCTGAAACGCTGAATACCGCGTTATTACTTGTTCCTTCCATTCCTCATCCCCTCAAGCCCCCGTTTTCTTCTCATCTTCCATCTTGTTTGCACTACCCTAAACGCAACACTTCCCTTCTTTCCATTCCTCATCCCCTCAAGCCCCCGTTTTCTTCTCATCTTCCATCTTGTTTGCACTACCCTAAACGCAACACTTCCCTTCTTGACGGCGAGGGGTTAAGTCTCCGTCGAACATGCCTGTCCTCACGACCAACTGGTTTTCTATACCAATAGAGCTCGACAGGCCTCTGTTGATACGCGTGCACTGTTTCTAAAACGGCACGCTTTCTGATCACGAAGGTCACATGCGGCTTTGCAAAACCTTATCTTGGGCAAGTTGGTTCGTTGATTTCTGTATGATACAAATTTTAGCATGATATGACGCAAGGGCAGACAGCTACACGGATTGGCGCTAACGTCCAGCTGTTGCTTATTGAAGAAACATACGGAAGTATACACACAGCACAAACGCAGATAAGGTTATGACTCTCATGATAATCGGACTGAAAACAATAGATAACATCTTGGAATAATACCTTACTGACTTCTTGTTCAGCAGAAAAATTGAGAGGGTTATGGATTATGCTCTTCTGTCGTTCATATTGCCACAAGGCAGTAGTGGGATTGTGGCATAAAGCGGTAGAGGATCTCTTCCTAGAAGAGACGACTACGAAGTGGATAGAGACTGGCCCCAGCCCATCACCGTCCTATTCATGGCCTATCCCCCTAGGTGGGTTGCGCCAAGGTGTTGAGGAACCAACCAACCAACCATCAGTGTGCCAGCCGTTGTCGTCGCGTGTGAATATCGCAAATATTCACAAATATACGTTTCCTTGTAAGATTATTAATGGAGGCGCCGGGTACGCAACCCGGCTCTCTCGGAAAACCAACACGGAACTTCGGAGTGGTCGCCACCTTCATTTTCCTGCAATGGCTCGACAGGCCAACCCACAAGACCAACATCAGCCGCAGCAGCAGCAACAGCTGCCTCCTCTGATTCTCCTGCCTCCACGAGACCCCGGAACCTTCTCGGGCACAGGACAAGCTGACTTTCGGAAATTGGGTTACATATCTATCAATGGAAGCGGGCAACATTGTACATGCCAACACTGTATAAAAGCATGCCGCTGATAATAAACGTCAGTGGTTGCCGAGACGCCGACACATGTGTGCAATCAATCTGATATATGGTGTCCGAAATGGGCCAGCCGCGTCGACGCCCTTTTTGAAACCCATGGCTGAGTGAGTCCCGCCCCCGAAACCACTGCGGCTTGGTGAGAACGTTCCTGACAACTAATTGAAGTTCAAGCAGCGTATACAGCTTTACTTTGCCGCCACCGAGCAACAGAAACCGCGCACCAAGGCACAGAAAGCGGCTATCTTCCTTCATCTTGCTGGACAAGAGGCCATCGATGTGTTCAACACCTTGAGCATCAGTGAAGCAGAGAAATTCGACTACGACAAACTGGTGGAACCCTTCGAAGCCTACTGGTGGCCACACACCGACGAGACATATGAGAGGTGCGTGTTTCGCAGCAGATTGAGAGCGGATGGCGAGCCATTTGAGCAATTCTACAGACTTGCAGTTGAAAGTTAGGAGCTGTAATTTTGGCATAATGCGTGCGTCCATGCTACGAGACCAGATAGTTTTGGGTACTACAAGCAAATGTCTGCGAGAAAAGCTGTTAGACAAAAGAAAAATTGGCCCTCAAGGTGACGACGTTGACGACGTCAAAAGTGAGAGCAACCTGTCTAAACGCATAGAAATCCAGTTTTAAGATTTGTTCTAAGGTATCGCAAATCTGCAGCGGGAATACAGAGTGACCTTGAAGGATGATGCCGTTACAGTTGCGGAGCCTGCGAGGAGGGTTCCCCTTTCACTCCGGCCCCAACTCAAGGAAGAGCTGGACTGCCTGGAAGCAGCTGGTATCGTCACGAAAGCTAGAGAACCTTCCGACTGGTTGAGCCCACTGGTAGTTGTCCGTAAAAAGAATAGAAAATCGCGTATTTGCATGGACCCCCACAAATTGAATCGGGCGATAAAAAGGGAGCACTTCAACTGCCCCAAAGGGAAGAGATTGAGAGCGAGCTTGCAGCTGCGAAATATTTAAGCAAACTGGATGCAAACAGGGAATTTCATCAAACCCGCTTGATGAGAAAACTTCTCGAATTTGCTCGTTCAGCCGCCCTTTTGGGCGTTACCGCTTTATACGGCTGCCATTTGGGATAGTTTCGGCATGACAGAGAGCATGACAGAGAATGGAATGAGGTACGCGAAATGCTTACAAAAGCCCCTGTTCTTGCAATCCATGATGCTTCACTGCCCACAAAGCTATCTGCCGACGCATCGGCTTTCGCTGTAGCAGCTTCATTGTTGCAAAAGCACGGGAAGAATGGCGTTCAATTGGCTATGCTTCTAAAATGTTAAGACACGGAGCGCAAGTACGCGCAGATTGAAAAGGAGGTCCTGAGCATCGTTTTTTGGGTGTGAAAAGTTCAGCGAAATTGTCGTGGGCAGGCAGATTTTATTGGAAAGATATCACAGCTCTTTGCTAGCCATTTCTAAAAAAGGGCTTGGTGATATACCGCCAAGACGGCAAAGACTTTTCTTGCGCATGTTAAAGTACGACCATCAGTTGCACCACAGTCCTGGGAAGAAGCTGATAATAGCAGACATGCTTTCGCGCATTCAGGTGCCAAAATTGCGGGGTGATTTTTCTGTGCACGTTGAAACTTATGCTCTAATCATTTCGGCTTATCGAGTAAGCCCCAAAACAATGAGAGAACATGCTGAGGCTAGCGCAGCAGACCCTGAGCTGCAGATTGTGATAAAAAGGCTGGAAGCTTCGCAGCCCATCGAAGGTGAGCTCAAAAGGTGCGCAAATGAGCTATCAGTTGTCAGGGGCGTACTGCTTATGGGAACGAAAGTTCCCATAAGCAGTAGTCCCTATGATCCTAGATCAAATGGCCTCGCAGAAGAAGACTCCAGGTCATCAAAAGTTTGTTCAAAAAAGTCGGTGCAGCAAGCGATTTCTGCCGGGGCCAATTAAACTACAGAACATCACTACTCGAAGACAGCAGGACACCAACAGAGCTGATGATACACCGAAACCCTCGTACACCACTCCCCGAGTTTCAGCACTCTACAGAGTCGCAACTGCTCACTATGTAGGGTTTAACGTCCCAAAACCACCATATGAATATGAGAGATGCCGTAGTGGAGGGCTCCGGAAATTTCGACCACCTGGTGTTTTTTACCTGCACGCAAATCTGAGAACACGGGCCTACAACATTTCCGCCTCCATCGGAAATGCAGCCGCAGCCGGGATTCAAACCCGCGACCTGCGGGTCAGCAGCTGAGAACCTTAGTCACTAGACCACTGCGGCAAGGCAACAGAGTCGCAACCCGTGAAGCATAAACAAAAGATGCAAAAAAGGCACGTGGCTACCACTACTTCAACAAGGAGACACTGTCAGAGTCATGGACCATAACTTTTGGCACTTGAAAGTGAAGGTGCTCAAGATAGCGTGTCCACGTTCGTACTTGGTTCGCACAGACGACGGAAGACTACTGCAAAGAAACCGCCGAGACCTCAGGCGAACAGCTGAGCCTTTCAACGAGCAGAAGACGCCCCTGGTGCATTTTTCATTTGAAAGCAGTGCGATAACTGAGTTCGTGCCGGAAAGCAACGCCACATCGTCAAGGGTGCCCTCGGGAAGCAGAAAAACACCTCTGCTAATGCCGGCGGAAAACAGCCAGACATCTGTGCGAGTGACAGGGGAAGTATGCGATACTAGTGGAGGTCCGCCCTTTGAACACAATGGCTCACCGCGTAGAAGAGAGGATATGACTCCAGCAATGCTTTCGGCACAGCCTCAGTCTTCGGACGAGCAGGCTGTCCATGGCCCTTTGCCCCGCCATTGTGGTCTAGTGGCTAAGGTACTCGGCTGCTTACCCGCAGGTCACGGGTTTGAATTCCGGCTGCGGCGGCTGCATTTCCGATGGAGGCGGAAATGTTTTAGGCCCATGTACTCAGATTTGGGTGCACGTAAAGAGCCCCAGGT